ATATTGTTTATAAATATACCCGTCTAGCGATTAATTGCATAAGTACATGGAGGCAGGACCTCACAACAGAAGCATACTCCATAATGTGCATTATTATATGTATGTTATATGTAACGTGGTATTTTTCAATTATTGTATTTACCAACATCAAGAAGTCACAAGCAAAGAAAGACCACACCATGGTGCATGTTTAAACAAGGAAAGTTTACTGGTCAAAATTATTTATTAAACAAATAAACCACATTTTTTTAACACAAAAAAATACCCGTTCAAAGCAACACAACAGCAGCCCAATATCAGACAGAATTCCACTCTGTAGAGTGGACAATCATTATCAAGCAGTTGGTTTTATTTTGTGGATTCAAGCTGCTCTTCATATTTTTGGCCACAAGATGTCACCAAAAAGGACTGTGTTGAAAAGCTTCGAGTAACGAACCGTTTTCAGAAAGCTTCATTTGGCCATCACTAGCCGGATGTGTAGTCGGCTACCTTATTTTGAAAAGAACGCATGACCGGAAATTATATTTTGTCACCCTGGGAGGGAGGACAGCTTAGCAAAGCTTCCAAATTGATGCGTTATTTAATATAAAAGAAGGGTGAGTGAAAGCGAATGTTTGTATACAGTTATACAAACACATAGGCGGTGTTTATGTTAATAGATAGTGCCGTTACAGTAATACATTTGTACTGAACGTGTTAGCATGAACGCTAGCCAGCATGCTAAATCAAGAGCTGACGTATTTCCCAGGTTTGAGAGGCAGGTCTAAGCTCAATTAAAGATTATGTTTGACATTTTTAGTAAAACCCCAGGTGTCAGCTGCAGTCCTTATCTGTGCTGAAAATAATGTTGTGCTATGTTCACTTATAAAGCTCGGCTCACTAACCCTGTTAATGTTTTACTGCCTTTGTTTTTAACCTTTCTGGGTGTAAATTGGTTCACTGCGGCTATGTTGGTTTGTCAGGAGGATGAGCAGCTCAGAGGAGGTGTCCTGGATATCGTGGTTCTGTGGACTCAGAGGGAACGAGTTCTTCTGCGAGGTCAGTCTCATTTTCATTTTCACTCTTTATTTTTCAAAGCTTTAGTTGCACCTTCATAAGCTTTTCACAGACTTCATCATTCGCATCGCCTGCTGGCGGAGTATACAGAAGCGTAAATTATGTCCCCACACCATCAGGCTGCTCTACACTGTGGCAGCACAAGCACTCTGCATAAATACACAATTCCTTAGTGGTTCGCATGATTAAATTAAATCGAACCTTGACTTCTTGATTTTTGGTCCATATTCATCACAGCACCAAGATATATCAAATGTATTTGCACATCAGACCATACACAGACTTTCTTTGAATAAATCAAACCTGATGTGGTGTGCTGGTTTCTTATGATCACTTTCTCTGTTTGCACACTTATGTTAATGGTTACAACATCACCTAAAGAATAATTTATTGATTAAGATCATGGAGACACTTGAACTTTATGATTGAAAGATTTCTATAAATCATGCAGATGTAATCTGTGAACCATTTCGGAGTTCAGCAGGATTCTGAGACCCTGCACCATGCATGCTTAGACTGAAAGATAAATGCCTAGTATAGTGGTGACACATCAAAACAGCCAGTACTTAAGGATATGCTGCATGTTGCAAAACCATTTGGAAATCGTAGTGAAGCTACTCTCAATCAAAAATTACTTTGCTAAATTTATCATCTCAGCTAACAACATAAAAATAAAAATAAAAAACAGTTTGAGAGCGTACTGGGACCTTTTGCCAAACCAGTAAAGTGTGACGTGTATGGTGGACTAAAGCCATCAGCTATAAAGAAGACAAAAATGACCACCACACTCATGATTTTGTTTGATATATTATGTGGAATAACACATGCGAGTACTGAAATGTACAGAATGTGCTTAAATCAAACTAACCAGGCTATGTAAAGATGATATTTTACCTTCTGACCAGGTGTATGTGCTTAATGAATTTATTAGACCACCTTCCATAAAAACAAGAAAAATTCAAATGCATCAAAAATGTGTTTGAAGTTTTAAATCTGAACTGTTATCTATTAGGCAAACAACACACTGAATTCAAATGAATTTGTAGATGCTAGAAGTAGCTGCAGCTTTACATTAGAAGGACTCCTGGAAGTTCCTTTGGTTAGAAATCAGTTAATCACCTCAGCTACTTTTTTCCATCCAGTAGTTTCTGTTCTGTTGTAATTTCAGAACTGAAACCACCAAATAAAACACATTTCCCTTTTTTTTTTTGTGTGTGTGTTTGAGTGTCTGAATTTCTCTCTTGGTCAAATATCCCTGTACTGTTATTTATATTGCAGTGTCTCAATAACTTGCAGGGAAATCTTTAAATGATGGAGTAGGTCGTCACCTACTGGATATCAATCTGGGGTCAAGGTCACACTATGGCCAGTAACCTGTAACCAGGATAATCTGCTGCATCATTTACTTTCTGGTCTGCATTATTTATTTTATTATTTGGTATCTTTGGGGCTGGAAGATGCCACCTTGGACATTTTACACACACGTAGTTTTCAGTTCAGCTACATATAGTTAAGACCTGACTGTTGCAACTGCTCTCCTCGCCTGTTTGTGAAGAGCACGGAGGGTTTTCTTTCTAAGAGTACAAAAAGGACATCAAGTAAAAATGCTTAAATGAAAAATGCCAAGAAATAGCTGGCTGCATCGCAGTAATCTTGTTAAACTTTTGTATAATGGTTCTATATCAGTGTGCTGTGCAGTGCACTGCTGCAACAGTAACTTGTGCTATTAATAGCCGTTGGTTTCCTTCTGCTGCTGTGTTTTAGGTTGATGAAGACTACATACAGGACAAGTTTAACCTGACGGGGTTGAATGAGCAGGTGCCTCATTACCGCCAGGCTCTGGATATGATTCTTGACCTGGAGCCAGGTGAGATTTTAAAGTGGTGCAAACCACTTCTCTCATAAAATGAGATAGTAAAATAGTTAAACAGGTTAAATTGTTTCTATTTAAACAGATGAGGAGCTTGAAGATAATCCAAACCAGAGTGACCTGATAGAGCAGGCAGCAGAGATGCTGTACGGACTTATACATGCACGTTACATCCTCACAAACAGAGGCATTGCACAAATGGTGGGCTCTTATTTTATAGTTTTTGCAACAACCTCTTACAGGCGCCACGACATGATCATCACGAGTGATTTCTAAGTTTGTTCTTTTTTGTAGTTGGAAAAGTATCAACAGGGGGATTTTGGCTATTGCCCCAGAGTGTATTGTGAGAATCAGCCAATGCTTCCGATTGGTAGGTCTGATTGTTCTTGATCTTCTCATTGGGGGGGATCACTTGAACTAAACAACACACTGTGATATTTGTGACTATCCCTTCTTTTCTCTCTCTCCTGCGTAACGTAGGTTTATCGGATATACCGGGAGAAGCGATGGTGAAGCTTTATTGCCCAAAGTGCATGGATGTGTACACCCCTAAATCCTCTAGGCACCACCACACGGATGGAGCCTACTTTGGCACGGGGTTCCCTCACATGCTGTTCATGGTGCACCCAGAGTACCGCCCAAAGCGACCCGCCAATCAGTTTGTGCCAAGGTTTGTTCTTTTGCATCAATGTTACACTCAGCTTTCAAACGACACCAAACCACTGACCTCTGAAAAGCGAGGAATTTATTTATTTATTTTTGTTCTTTTTTTTAGGCTGTATGGTTTCAAAATCCACCCGATGGCTTATCAACTCCAGCTTCAGGCAGCATCAAGTTTCAAGAGCCCAGTAAAGGTGATTCGCTAGAAGCCATCTTTGACAAAGACAGTGGACTCAGAGACTTTGTTGTTTACAACTTGCGTGAAGCAATTGATTGTGTATAACCAATAAATACCTGTACAGTTCTCCAAACTCACCTCTGTGTTGATAAGCACTTTCAGATTCAGCCATTTCCTCTCTTTTAGGAGGCAGTTACAGTTGAGCAGTTTTTAATTATACTAATTAATTGAGCTTCAGACATGTGGTTGAACCTTAACTGATGTCAGTCCATCTTTTCAAAATAAAGGGGTTTCTCTTTTAGATTGAAAAGTGACTTTTACTGCAGTTTGCTTTGCGGCTTAGTTGAATGTAACAGAATGTCTCACCACCAGCCCCAAGAGGTTTGCCTTATCAGTGATTAAGCCTCATGAAAATGTAACTATTAAATCCAGAACACATGTAGGAATGTGCTTAGATGTTGTTCTTGTAATATGTGCAAATAGATTCAGGTGCTCTTACCAACAACCAGTGAATACCAAATTAGAGAGATAAAGAAAAGACAAAAGGACCTATGCTTGTTTTAAATGTTACTCTTCAGTTTCATGAGATATAGTGGCTGTGTGTTTGCTTGTTTAGACAGCTCTAACAATCATTTCCTGAGGGCTCTGTTTGTATATGTTTAAATAATGGGATAACGATCTAGACCAGGGGTGTCAGAACATAAGGCTCTGGGGCCAGAAGTGGCCGGCAAAGACTCCAATCCAGTCCACTGGGCAAAAAAAGTTCAGAAATTTTGAACTTTTAACTGCATTTTCATAGTTTTGACAGCATTTCTTATTGATAAAGATCTCCCATTCATAATTCATCACAATAATTAATAATTACATAAAGGTTTGTTTTTTCCACTACCTACTATGATTTTTTTTTTTTTTTTAGGTGTCTGTGAAGTTATGAAAACTTTATATTGTATAATTACAGAATAGTCTGGGCAATGAACTTCCAGAACTACTGTAATTTTAAACATCCATCAGTTTCATTGATTCGGCTCACTTAAGATCAAAGCGGACTGACTGTGTAAAATGAGTTTGACATCCCTGATCTAGACAGATGTGACTCTTTTTTTTTTTTTTTTAAGAGTTTGGTATTGAACGTGCAACATCCACTGCAAAACAAGTGACTGGCATTAAATATTTATTACTTACCAAGAGCTCATTTTTAATATGACGTGCTTCATTCACAGACAGCCCAACAACGTGCAAAATAATGCTTATTTTATTTTCCATAAAAAGACAGGGATAAGTCACAAAGCAACAATATTTTCTAAAAACTATTTTTTTCTTAATGTGAAACTACTTTTTTATCGAGGGAGGAAAAATGCAGATGTGATTGAGTTTTAGCTATAATAGCAATGGCTTTTTTTTTTTTTTTTTGTTTAAAAAAAAAAAATGCTACCAAACATGCTATCTAGAAAAGATTCGTATGTTTTCTTCTCTATGAAAAAGTACAGGAAAAACAGCAAGTGAGAGCAACCTACTCAGACTACGTGGTTAAAAAGGCTTTACAAACTTGGTTGATTATGAATGTAGTATTTAACATGGTGGAAGCCTGGAAACCAGCTTGTGGTGAAACATCACAATACATCAAGTCACATGAAACAGTTCCTACTTAACAAATAAATTACTGTATAGTAGAACACGTAGAAAGAAAAAAAAAAAAAAGACAACATGTGCTCCCGTGAGAGGAAAAGCCACATTTATCGGGCAGCTGCCTTCATGGCTTACATGTGTGGCTATTGTGACAGACAAGCTTTTATATTTATTGACCTCACTTGACTGAACATACATGTACATTTACAATAGAGGTGGATAATAAATACATGGACATTCCTCATACAATCATACGGAGGTCTGTAGTCTTACAAAGAATATCAAAACCTGAGATAAACAGACCAAAAACCTGTAAAAACTTTTCATATCAACCAAATATGTTCAAAGCAGGTAGGACTTCTATTAAAATGAACAAAAACAGAGCTGAGTAAATCTCCACTGTTATCTGTGAGTTCTGTAAAGTCGGATGTACTTGGTGGACTACGAGAGGAAACGAATAAGAATGATTCAGGGTGATTCAGGCAAGACGAGTCTTAAATAGAGACCTCAAAATTCAGTAAAACAGCACAAATGGTAACCTACATTTTCATGAGCAGATATGAATAACTTAAAAACCTCACATTTGTACAAATACTATAAAAAGCATTACTTCTATAAAATAGAGAAATATTTCAAAATAGATCGATTTTTTAAAAATTCAAACTTTACAAGAATATGTAGGCTACTGGTTCTTAAGCTGGTTGGGGAAGAAAATATTAACTTGTTTTTTTTTATTTCTTTCTTTATTTTTGTACCTGAGACGTGAACAAACTGTCCAAATTTGAGCAGAAAATATCTTTGTCCACATAGAGATGTGAGGTATGTCATTTCATTAAAATAAAAAGTCTCTCCTGAATTAAATAGACAAGTAAACAACAAGAAAAAAAAAGAAAAAAAAGAGTTCCCTTGAATGTGGTCTTAACGTTCCCCTAGCAGCACCGTGGGAAGAAATGCTGATAATGGCATCTAAACTATAATGGAAACAGTAAATTTGTATAAAATCAACAATGTAAAAACCACTAGGAAAAAAAAGTATTTAAAAGCAAACCTAACTTGAGATCACACAACTGCAAATGCTGGGATTTAACCAATAAACGTGTACTCGCTAAACTTTTACAACACTAGGATAATCTGAGGACTGTGCAGCTCTGCCTACAATGAACAGCCTGAAAAAAAAATACAAAAACTGAAAACAAACAGACTATTAGGAATTAATATATGCTGTTATCAATCATTTTAGCTGCAGAGTTATGAGTGGGTTTTTTTCCCTGTTTTTTAAGATATGTGTGCGCAAGTACAGCTGGTCACTGTGTGTTGAGTGCTGGGGATATCGGAGGTGATTGGTCAAAGGAACAAGGTGTGGTTCAGTTACAATGCTGATGCTCCGCTGTGCTTCTCCTGCAACACAGACATGTTTTGTATATGATCTCAAGTTGCTAAGACAAAACTGTCCTCGTCACTAAGCGCTAAAGAGTTGATGCAAGTACAAATTTAAGCAAAACACTATAACTTCATATTTCAGATTAAAGAGTAGTATCTAAAACTAAGGAAGCTTGTTTTCGGTGCTGAAAAAAAATTGGATAAGATTCGAATATTCTGTGCATTAAAAATATTTTTTGGACTCGCCTACTATTAATGCAGCTGTTCACCTCAACCGCTCACATGATTTTGCGGGATGAGGTTGTGGCATTTATTTTTCCAGTTCAACCTCAATTTTTTTAGATTTTTCACATGTAAAAAAAATACAGATCTGACTAATCAGAGCACTGCATTTGGCAGCAAGTGCACTCGTAGCTCAAAATGCGCACCCGTACTGAATATACAGTGATTAAATAATATTGTTTTACCTCAGAGACGATTACACGACAAGTTTGCATCTGAAAAATTTGGAATTAAATGCTGTTATTTTGCACCGCACTCGGTGTAACGTCTTTGCTAACTATCTTGGAATTTCCGTCCAGTTGTTGAAATTTTGAGTTAAGGCTTTCTTTCCTTTTACTGCACAAACAAGCTTCCATATAAAACTCAGCCAAGAGAGCAAATACCGCCTTAAGCCTAAACCTGTGTGTAGATTTTGTACCTTATCTTGGTCGATGTCAGAGTCTGCGGTTATGACAATTCTCTTCTCCACGCGAGTTTCTGAAGATCCACTTTTTACTACCTGTACAGGAAGGAAAATCTATATTAGGCATCTAAAGAGTAATAGAACGGGAAAGGCGAGAGCCTAATTTGCTCTGCTGACCTTTGAGATGTGAGTGGTGGTAGTCGTCACTGAGGTGCCACTGGTGGTCTCTGAGGTAATGGTCTGGGAACTGGATACTGTTGAGCAATCTTTGTCCTCCTCTGTCCCATCAACGGTCACCTGAAGGAAAGAAGAAAAAATGGGGATGTACTGAATAATCATTTCTAAATCATGTGACATCAAGGTTTCACCGAGGAAGGCACGAGGCTGCTTCATTCTTATTTTGGAGCCCTTCTACTGATCCTCCCAGACCTCCTTATTGGGAGTTTTTGAAGCCACCTCCACCATGCAAACCTGACTGCCTATAGCTGAGACAGATCTGGGCTGAGCAGCTGCTGGAGCCCCTACCTTTGAAGACTCATAGGTGAAGGTCCTAGTCGGGATGATAGGGACCTCTGTGGTGGAGATGCCACTGGGTAAGGGGCTGGAGACGGCTGTGATGGTGACAGTCTGCGTCTGCACCAGAGGGGGCTGTGAAATGGAGCACAGCCCCATGAGTGGCTGTTTAACCAGACACTTTGCACCACAGCAAACACTTTATTTCACACCATGCATTAGCTATTGCCTTTTTTTTTCTTTAATTAGACTTTCACCACAACCGCTATTTCCTCTCACCAGATTAGTTTATTGTATTCGAAACAGAAGAATCAACGTGTTAACGTCACTTCCCACCACCAACCACTCCAAGAGAAACGGTGAATAAACGACACAGGTGCGTTAGAAAGATGATCAAAAGTAATGGTTTTGTAGCAGAGATTTTTACAGTGACCCGTCACCGTCGTTAAAAACTTGGCACACCGCTGTGCAGCACCTCTGCAGCGTCTTGAGTTCCATCTGACAATAACAAGCACTTTCACACCAAACCGAATACCACCTTAGGAGAGTCACAAGTTTTTTTATTTGTATCGGTGCTGCAAAGGAGTGTGTCAGCCAAGAAGGGAAATAATCAGCATCACCCCGAGGGAGTCAGGAGGCTACCTGGAAACAGCGCATGACCTGTGGACCATCGCTCCAGAAATAGGAAGCTGGGGAAGATCCAGCTATCCTCCCAGAGTCAGCCGACACTCCGGGACACGATCTTTCTTCTTCCGGGATCACTTCTAAAGCATTACAGGAGGGATCAAAGGAAGGAGGCAGCTGTGCCATTTCCACCTCTACGATTGGCACCAAGTTCGTCTCAAACACTACAACCTCTTCCTGATCACGTAACTCTTTCTCAACAGTAGCGCTGTGGACTTCGACACTCTCGGGCTCGCTCTTGATAGGTAGGTCTGTAAATTCCAAACTACTGCTGGTTTCCTCATGTGCAGTCTTTGTGTCTGAACCATTGCTTAGGGGTCTAATGCACACACTCTAAAAAAGACATAAAATAGTTACTATGTGAAGTATTTCCAACTGATACTGTGAAAATGATAAATACACATGCATGCAAGCTAAAAATATGTACATAGAGTGGATTAGGCTGCACAAAGTATAGGTTTTATGAGGTACTGCAGAGACTCTGGTTATCTGATTGCACTTATGTAATAAAAATCAGCCCTGTTTTAATGCCATAGCTTAACAACACACAATGGCCACAATCATTTCTACATGGTGCATGCTAAAAGTAGATGACCAAGTTTTATGAATGGTTACAACTTTATGGCATGCATCTTAACAATAAATAGAATGCGTCATGATTCAATTCTCCTGTTTGGAGAATTTGGAGAGGAAGGACCAGTGGAATATTATGAAACCTGAAGTTTATATGAAATAATTCAATTCCATAAATGGAAATAAGAAGCATATGAACTGAATATGGAATGGCTTTTATTCTTTGGTCAATGTTGATTGTCAAAAAGTCATGCAACAAGGAATCTCTTGCAGCTGCTACATACTCCCTTTCCAAATACTGGTGGAGGGACAAACAGGTTATTAAGAATAACAATTAAGCTGCCTCAAGAAATACTATAGTGTGAAAGGGTACTGATCATTTCCCCCATTAACAAGACTGCTGTTTTCTAGTGCATGTGAGTTCAGGAAAAAAGTCACAGTGGTCATCTTTTTCTTTTTCTTTTTTTTAAAGACAGTACTTTAAGACTACTGACAATATAAATGTACCTCAACACGTGTATAAAAGCAGGCTCAAAGTGATGCGGTCAAACATTAAAAACCTCCAGATAAAAGTCAAAACTTGTATCTTTAAAAGTCCAAAAGACGTCACAGAAAATGCAAACAGCACTGCGTTATCACTTCCAGTCCTGATCAGTCTTTGGAGAAGGAGAGGTCTGATTCTGGTTGGAGAAACCAGGGGTGGGGTGGGGGAATTGTGCCGCAGTGGAGGAAACAGGGAATCAAAGTCTCAACAGTTCAAAGGAAGCCTGAGAGAAAAAAAAAAAGAGGGCAGCTTCTCAAGTGGAGCAGAGGATGAGAGGTGAAAATGCTGGAGTGATGCTGCAGAGGAAGCAAAGGAAGGAGAAGAGGAGAAGAGAAAGCTAGAGGCTGATGGGTAGATGGGCAGGGTGCGGTCTCCGTGGGTCACATTCACACCTTGTGTGGGGCCTCCGCAGGGTTGAGACGACCCCCTCAGCTGCGTTTGGAGTAGAAGTCGAGCAGGGGGCCGCGCGGAAGGCGGATGACAAACTGATGTGGGGGGGGGGGCGAGGATGAGCAGGAGGAGGAGGGGGGGAAAGATGAGAGGGAGGAATTTTAAAATACGATAATGAACTGAATTTGTCAAATCTGAATTTGTGCAACAGCTGATAAAATTCTAACATTTTAAAGCCTTTATTAGAAAACAAACCAGATTTTATTCACTTTTCGTTTGTTTTCAGAGCATTGAAATGTTACATGCATTTTAACATGCACTTTATTTGTTTCCATGAACAACAAATTTTTCTTTCTTCTTTTGAAAAGACAGAAAAGTCATTCACACTTGCGGTATCTTATTTAAAACTATCTCATCAGCTAAAGCTGATGCAGCTGACAGCTGATGGATAGCAACAATGCTATGCATCTCAAGTGACATCAAGCTGTCATAAAGGTTCATAATGTCAGCAGCTCAGAACCTAAAGTTTAACTGGTTGTTTTAACAAGTAGCTTTTACTTTATTTTAATTCAATTATCAGTCCGTTAGAAGCAGCAGAATCAAATCTAGCTCTGCTTAAAGTTGATGTTTACTTTTCTCACAGTAGTGAGTTGTAAATAAGACGATAAGCTGCCTTGGAAAAAAATGATAAAAATAATATTACTCCTGTTATGAGTCGTGTGGTTGTTGGCTCATAGACTTTCTACAATTGTTCTGTTTCATTTCCAAACTGCTCGCTGTGAGCTGTCAGTACAGTTGGTCCATAATTTGTTGGACAAAGGCACAGTGTTTGTAGTTTGCCTATGCACATCACCACAGTGGATTTTAAATCAATATGACTGAAATGCAGACTTCCAGCAATTCAAGGTGTTTAACAAGTTGTGAGGTTTAAAAATAATGACTTTTTTTGCCAATTTTAAATATCAGGTTTGTTCACTTGAATAAAAATGTTCAAGTCTACAACCTGCTGACATCAAATCTTCTGTTTACGTCTATTTGTGCATCTTTGAAATTTGTCTCCAGTAAAAAGAAAATCAAAACTGTTTGGCTGAGATCAGGTGATCAACTGGCCGTGGAAGAGTATCTCATTTCTTTTCCTTGATGGCCTTATGATCATTGGCTATTTCCCTCCTTATCAATACTTTTCTCTTCCCATCATTCTGGTAGTTCATCTTGGTTTCATGTGTCCAAACTCTTTTAGATGTTTTCTGGCAAAGTCTAATTCGGCCTTCTCGTTTAACCACCCAGCTGTAAAGCCTCTGTATTTCCATTCATTTCCCTCTTGATAATACACTCGGACACTGATACTCTTACCTTGCTAACTTGCTTATGTGTTGTGAAAATGTTTTTTCTTAACCTTGGAAATATTTCATCATCCACTTTGGTTGTTTTCTGTGGTCTTTCAGGCATCTCGGTGTTGCTGAGTTGGCCATTGAATTCATTATCTTATAAAACGTCCGAGATTATTGATTTGGCCACTCTGTAGGTTTTTGCTATTTCTCTGATAGGTGTGATCGGATTGTTCAGCCTAATGACAGTCCCCTGACTTGCTCTAGCCTCATATTTTTGAATAACATTTTGACTCAACTTGTTATGTTACGTCTGTTTCATCTGTCGAGAAATAATAAGGGCACAAGTTTCACCTGGCCATGAAAATGTTGTGGAGACAGTGCATAAAAATGGCTGTAATTCCTAAACAGATAATGCTATACTTTTGTACAAGCCCTTAAATTAAAGCTGACAGATGGCACTTCAATCACATGTTGATGACTTGATTTCAAATCCACTGCGAAACTATTAAAAACAAATGTCTATCTCCAAGAAATTATGGCCCCTCCTGTACGTGTTTCTTTGAAAACTCAAGTGCATACTGACAATATGATATTTTTGAAGGAATTTAAGTTTTCAAATGTAATAATCTTTGTGTCCAAGTCATCATGAAGCACTTGATGCAAATGCATGTCAAGCGAACCTCAACAGATTACATAATTACTCATGTGACAGCGACTAAATTGAAACTGAGTTTCCATCTGTGAAAAGCTTCAATTACCTGAAATACTGTCATTCAAATATTTACTCATGTCAATAACAATATTAATAATAATAATAATGTTGTATTAGCTGTTTGCTGATACAACTGTGAATGAGGCCTCATCTCTTCATAAAAAACAAACAAAGATGCTCAGAGAAAGCAGCAAAATGAAAAAGGTGAAAGCAGCGTAAAAAGAAAGTAAGCCAAGAAAAAAAGAGAGGAAAAAGAGAGGGAAGAGGGGAAATACTGTTCAGCGCCAGCACGTGCAAAACGTCTTGAAGGTGGGTTGCCTTTTAGTCATGCAGCAAATTTGTAAAAGTCAGGTCTGTCAGTCATGCAGTACAAACGTGTTGGGCTTCAGAGGCATCCTAAGCAGGTCTGATTCAGACCGAGTGACATCTCAGGGAGGAAAACCTGTGCCAAAGATGCCTCACCCACAGCGGTCTTTTATGTGAATGAACAAATATAAAAGTCAACGAGTCCGGCTGCATTCTTCATACACATTCAATTAATGCATACCGCATGCCATCAGCTCAGATACATGCACACGCAAACTGTCAACACTGTCTACATCAGAAAGAGCCTGAATGACTCCTCTTCACAATTTCTTCTTCTTTTTAAGCATTACTCAAACACAAGTAAGTGCCAAGTCAGTTCCAAAACTGCTCATCTTAATTAGCCAAATTAGATGTTATTTTTTTTACTATTTTTTCTCTCAAATTCTTCAACTGATAGACTAAATGAACTAAAAGGATCAGTTGTTTTTGTGCCAGACTTACCCCATCCGCGCTGGGCAGAGGCTGACCGTTGATTCCCAGGGTGCGGAAGGGAGAGTGTGTGGACAGGCGCTTGTCCCACTCACTTGGCTTGTGATCTGGGACCGCCTCCATGAAGTTTCTCTTCAGCTCACTGATGCTGGCGTGATGCCTGAGCAGCACCTCCTGAGGCTTATCGAAATCCTTTACAGAGGAAAGTCGAGATGGGAAAGACGTTGCGGTTGAGGTGGGGGAAAGGATGGAGGATGGAGAAAGAGGATAATACAAGGACAGAAAGTACGCAGAGGTTGTCCGGGAAGGGAGAGGGAAGGCAGAAGATGTGTCGTAGAGAGGGAGAGATTAAAAGAAAAAAAAAAGTCAGATTATTTGGTGTTTTTTTGCCGTTTTGTGCAACTTTGGTTGATTTATTGATGATTAAATAAGCAGAAGCGGGTTAACGTGATTCTAAGCAAACATAAATGTTTCAGATTCCTTAAAAAATGATCAGTGTCTCCTTTTCAAAATGCAAATTAAACCTGGCAGCTGATTCATGAGAGCAGAGCTGGAGCCGCGATTTATCAAGCTGATAAATATTTGGAGTCATTTGGAGCCGTGGTTGGGTAGAGGGCCTAAACTATACAGCGCAACACTGAGCATCTATTTCACAGCATTAGGCTCGCAGTGAAACATGTTAAGAGAAGAGGCTGCAAACCAAAGAGCAGGAGAAAGGCGGTGACAGCAGACATTGTAAAAGCTCTTGAAGATGAAGGCTTGTTCCAAATGAAATCCCCGTTCATTTAAGACAAATGAACAACGGTCAAAGCGCTGATTTGGCAACATTTAGCACCAAGTTGATCTTTACAGGCAACCGCAGGATGTGATAGCAAATAAACAGAACATACTGCAAACTATATATCTGTAAATCATGAGCTGTTGTGGTGCAAAAGAGCAACTTAATGATAAATGTTTCACCAAATGGCATTTCTTTCATACACGACACAGCAGGGATCCCCCCCCCAAACACACATTTTCATTTCTACAGACTAAAACACTCATTTCCATAATTGTCAAGAAAATGAAATGCATTACTGACAAGTCTGAAAATGAGATGAAGGACAGAGCAAAAGCAGGAACAGGAGAATACTGATGATCTTGAATAAATAAGTGCATAAAACATGAGCTCGGAATGAAACCTCCCATTAAAAAAACAATTAAGGAAAGCTTCACCGTTCTTAGACCTTGGTGCCTCACCAACACCGCACGGTGAATCACTATGAACAGTTTGTGGATTATCAGGAGTGCAGCATCCTGAACAAGTTCAGATTGAACCCAGTCATTTTTTCTTGTTGTTCTAAACTCAACAGCACTCTCCTGAATCAATCGGATCAGAGTCGGTTGCCCCACACAAACACACATTTTTCATGTAATCTACAGCCGCTCGTTAACGCCGACGAGAAAAGTGTGAATCATGCCGCATGCAAGCGTGATGTTAAACAGCAGCCGGTGCGCCAAAGAGCAAGAAAATGCAGCTGGAGACCGACGTCTCCAGAAGGGATACCAACCTCCAACATTAATTGGCTATGTCTGATGTATATTGAGTCACCCTCAATTTTCTTAGCTCTTTTCTGTGAAAAATGAAAAGAACAAAAAAAAGAAGGTGGGTTTGTTTCAGTTTCCCTTTATGCTGGCATCAACCACACCTCTTCCATGCACACTACGAAGTTCACTAATGTGTTAATAAAACAGAGAAAGTAAGAGTAAGAGTGCATGCACAGTCGTTTGTGTGACCATAAGGGACCAAAATCTGCACTACACTAACAAAGTAAAGAACAGATGGCTCTGGAGGACTGACCGAAGATTTCTATTCTTATACCGAGGAAAGAAAAAAAGTGATGGAGTGACATAAATGTGATAAAACACCAGTTACCATGCCTCTTTAGTGCATTTAATCTATAATCATGCATGTGTGCATTCCAGTGTTAAGAACAGCAAGCAATGGGAAGAAATGATGTAACTGTTTCAACTTTTAAAAACAGCCAGTAGGTGTTAACGTACTCTGAGACTGTGAGACTGTGAAAGTGTTTGCGATCTAGCCATTGTTATATTTTCTACCTTTTATGAAATTAAAAATAAATAAATAAAAACATTTCTTGTGCATCGAACCTGATGTAGGTTTCATTTACGACCTAGCTGTGTGGAAGCACAACATGAGAAGAGGGTGATATTAGTCTTTGGGATGAGAAGCTCTTTATCATCAGAAATGGAGGTGGAGAAAATGGCTACGGTAGCATGTACGGCACTAAGAATCTGACCTTTCGCATTCGCACCACCTCCGTGCTCGTCGTCTCAGACTCGTGCTACCCCAGGGGAGGAGAGAGGAAGACGTGTTAGCATCCCCTGAATGTTGGCGTTAACACTCAGATCTCAACCGTGGTATAAGCACGTCTTCTGACATGCAAGACGCCTGCGTCTGACACTAACCTGGATGTCCCCATTCATGGTGGATATCAGTGATGAGTCTAGTTCTCTCTGGTCCCTCCACACTGCTGGCTACAGCAGCAAGAGATACACAGTTCACACTCAGACACAGAGAGCGATCTCAGATACTTTAGCATCTTTCGCCACAAAGGCGTTGTACCATTCACAATAAAAGACTTTCTATGAAAACACAACATTTGTTATCACTTTTTTCCACACATATTACATTACCAACATTTACAACAGCGATCAGAGTAACTGAATACCTTGGCGTCAGCCCCGGCTTCGATTTTTGAGGGCTCCACGGCTTCTACGGTGACCTGCAGCTTCCGTTCCTCCTGGCGGCTGGTTTTGATTGGAGTGGAGGTCTGGGGCTGGTCGAGAGTGGCCATGGGGATTCCTGCCTCCATCAGAGCAGCCTGGGAGAAGACCGGAGCACTGACAGGGCGCGTGCCCCTCTGGGCGCTCGCAGCTAGACAAAACGCAGACAAAATGGAAATGAGTGAATGTTGGGTTTTAGCACTGAGCAGGCTGCGAGTGGAGAGTTTTGTGAGGATCACGGTGAGTAAAATGCACACGAAAACAGATATAGCATTAAAAATAAAACAGCTTAACAAGCATATGGCACACTTAGCCTCAATGCTGCACAGGTATACTGTACCTCATTCGTTTCCTTTGCTCTCATTTAAAAGGACAAGCACGCATAAGCGTAAGGATGTGATGTGGGCCAGAAGCAGATGTCCACAAAGTGGATCAGTAAAAGCGGTTCTTGTTATATTCCAAAGGCTGGATGCAAAAGCCGACGGCATTAGGCTGCAAAAAGGCATAAAGCTAAATGAGATTGAACCAGGGAAATGACGACGTTAAGAAAGCATTATTTCTTCAATCGAAGGTCCGTGAATAATGGAAAATTCTAGCTGTGAGCCAGTGTGTCCCGTGCAGAGGTTGCAGCTGTTAGAAATGAGTGTTTTTATGAAGCAAACAAGGCATGACCGTGTGTGAGGGTTTTTTTAGCCACACACAAAACGAAAAAACTCCACACAAGGAAAAAATACCTGACGCTTTGAGGTCACCCTCGAGTAGAACAAACCAATTATCACTGACACGTGTTTGCGAGGGTCTTTCTTCCAGGATCCGTTTCTCAAACCCCGGTCTCGTCTCAGAAATCGTAATCTTTTTCGTGGCCGCGGCACGAGCAGGAACTGTGACCTGTGCTGGGAGCTGCTCGCGCTCCGAGACAGCGGCTAATACAAACACACAACCAGGTGTTACTCACCTCAGCGAGAAATGTTTCGTATGTATTGGCATACCAAGCTCTTTGGGATTATACCTGATTTCTTAAGGGACTTATCCAGAAGAGTAAACCAATCATCTTCCACCTGTCTCACTGCTGGACGTGTCTGCACCACATCCTGCTGCTGCTGCTGCCGTATTCTCTCCACTACTGTAATTGTCTGCTGTGCTGTCTGCTCTGTGAGTGTAAGCTCTTTAGCAGGTCTTACATCAGGATATATATGGATGCGTTCCACCCCAGCCGCTGACAGAGTACAGAAAAAAAAACTAAAATGAGACCTGCAGGAAGTTAAATATTCCCTCTACCTAAATATCTTAAATGAGCATTTTCCCCTGACATACTGCACCACCATACAAACACAATATAACTAAGGCTGGTGCAGTATTTCTGCATTCGTTTATAATGTGCTCCTAGTACAACATAATAGAAGTCGAGCACAGTTGCCATGTTATTCAGTCTGATAGCATCTCATAGCAAAGCCGCATGGCCATACAAGCAGCAGAATACCTGGTGCTTTTGCTGCTACATCCAGCAGCACAAACCAATCATCGTCCACTTTTCCTGCTCTTGCCATTTCAATCTTCACCATCTCCACAGGTGGCCTCACACCTTCCACGATCTTCACTCTTGCTTCAGTGGTTGCCACTAGATCAATAATAGGTTTGACTACAGCAACAAACACAGAAACATAAACGTAAATACATCTGATGCAAACTTTTTGTGCACAGCTTAACACAGCACCCGTTCGGCGTAGAAATCTACCTGGTTGTACGACCACAGGCTTTTCAAACAGGACAAACCAATCATCTTCTCTCTCAGAGAGGGAGGCAATTTGGCTCGCTCTAATTTCAGACACACTTGTCCCGTCTTGCCCGCCGTCCGCACCAATTACTGTCTTCTTCCATTTTTCGGTCACCTCAACCTCAAAAGTCTTCATTTCTGGAACGATCTGAGCTGGAGTCACTGGCACAGACAGAGTCAAAGGCGTTGAGTGATACTGCTATGACCACCATAGTCCTCTTAGAATATTATGTTTCAGTCTGAATTTACTGTAATACCTGTTGGTATCATGACTTCATCACGTGCAGTACCAAACAGAGCAAACCAGTCATCCTCTCTCTCTGGCTGGGGAGGCTGTGGTGTAACCTGGTCAATCTGAAGCAATCTCTGCTCTATACTTTTCACTTCAGTTGAAACATCTGGATAGATTTTAGTCTGCATCGACATAGAAACTGCAAAACAAAATTTTGATTTCAACTCCGGCTACTATGAAGCACAAGATAAATCTTTTGTTGATCTTATAAAAGCACATTTGTGAGCTGCAGATACCTATAGGGACATCTGGAATACCTTGCTTGGGAGCCACTGCTTCCACTTTCTCCACAACAGCATCCTCAACTACAAGCTCCCGCCTGGGATCAACAGCCTCTGCTTCAGTCAAGGCAGAAACACTCTCTCTGGTGTAAACCTCAACATACTCAGCCATGGAAGCTACCAACAAAGAAACGGAAAACTCGCTGTATGACACTTGAGGCAAAAAGTGAATGAAGAAACAGCAGGAGCGCAGGGGAAAATCTGCTCTACCTGGTGCCACAAATGAGGGCGGCCTAATGGGAACATCCAGCAGCACAAACCAGTCATCTTCTCGCTCTTTCACATCCTGTAGAAGTGCTACCCCCTCCCTTTCTGGCAGCATTTGTTTTGCGTCAGCACCTTCAACCAAAATGTCAAATCTTCTTTCTCTCTGCTCAAGAGCTGTTACTTCAATCAGAGAGGCACGTTCCTCTGGGTGAGCAGCAATTCGCTCTGAAAAGGTGACTTAGTAAAAAAAAAAAAAAAAGAGGAAAAAGCTCAGGGACTTTGAAAATAAGAGTACCTGCAGTGCTTAGAATAATTGGTTCTGCTAAAGCTGTGAGCCAGCACAGGGGACTTTTATGAATACCTGGTGGTGCGTGTGACGTTTGTCTTGAAAAAACATCCAGTAACACAAACCAATCATCAACTTTGTCTGACACTTGGTGTTGTAGCTTTTCTCCTATAAATCTCGATCCGTCTTCGATTGCTATTTCTTTCCTCTCTTCCATGTGAGTAACTGGTAAGCAGAGTCAGGAGAGGCATCTTTAATCGCCAGCATTAACAAGCAATTCTTTCATGAGCGAGTAAGGACAAAATAAAGCACAAGGAAGTTTCAAAAAACAAAACAAAAACAAGACCGAGCAGTACCTGATGGCCCAAAAAGCTTTTGTCGGGGAATAAAATCCAGCAACACAAACCAGTCATCAACCCGTTCAACGCTGATATGTGGTTTTTCTTTCTCGGGGTTGAAATGACCACCCTTGTCCACTTGAACACGTTCCACATCGGCAACTATGTAGGAAAGTGAAGACAGAATATTTGAGCGCGACGGAAAACAAATGGCCAGCTGGAAGAGAAGCTGGGCAGTGGTGGTTATTCTCTCTTTAAAAAATACATAGGCCGTATGAAAATCTAAAGTCGAGTATATCTTACACCTCACTGCAGAAATCAAAGCAAAAGAAAAGAGCAAAACGAAAGCCGGTTTGGTTAATATAATGCTAGTGCTTCGGGACATGTATGTCTTTATGGTTTTGATGATATTAGAATATCAGAGGGATTAGCATACTTTACCTGGTGTTTTGAAACCAGCTTTGTGTGGAGGCTGATCTAAAAGTATGAACCAAACATCATCAACTCTCGCCTGAGACAGACCTTCTGACCTCTCTGGAACCTCCCTCTGTGGCCTCTCCTCCACCACTTCTGTCTTACGCCACAGTTCCTGTCTTTCTAACATCTCCTCTGATGCAACACTAGACTGTCCCTGCACGTCTTCCATGCCTTCCTGCTGCTGCCCCCTCTCTTGTACAATAGTCACTATCTTCTCAGTTCTATGCTGAACCTTCTTGTATCCTGCTACATCAGCAGAGCCGGCGACGTCTGCATCTTGCCACTCCTGTTCCATTTCACGCAGTTTCTCTCTAAAGCTATCGTCTGTGTCTTCTTCACCCTCCCACTTCACCCGTTTTATTTGTTCTTCCAAGTCATCCACTTCACCCTCACTTATATCTATTCTCCGCACAGATTTCCTCACCACCATGTCCGTTATACCCCTGGATTGGATTGACTGTCTCTGCTCCAAATTGCTCTCTCCTTCCCTTAACGCTTCTACCACTTTCTTGCCCACTTGTTTTTCGCTCTCCCGCTTCACCACGATGTCTTCCTCCTCAGGCAACAAGTCCTTTAAAAACACCTCTTTTATTTGTTCTTCCAATTCGTCCACTTCGCCTTCTTCACCCTCTTTTATAACTCTTCTCCTCACAGATTTCCTCACCACCATTTCTGTTACACCTTTGGCTTGGATCAACTGTTTCGGCTCCATGTCTCTCTCTTCTTGTTTTAGCTTTTCTACCTCTTCCTCCCCCAGTTCTTCCTCTACTGCATGCTGAATTCTCCCTGCAATTTCATCAATTTCTTGAAGCCTTTCCTCAAGATCCCTCACGTCCCTCAATCTTCCTTCCAAAATTTCCTTCTCTGTAAATGCATCCACCAACATCACTGTTTCCCGCATCCTCCCAATCATCTCCTCAGTGATCATTTGCTGTTCTTTCACGCTTATGACCTGCTCCTCCTCCTCCCCCTCCGTGGTAGAGACTGGAAGAGTGATACAACAAACCATTTAAGTGCTGCAATTAATTGTTTTTTTTTGTTTGTTTTTTACCATTTTTTACCCAAAAAAGTGTGAAGGTTTTTGCAGAAAGCCAGACAAAGAAACTCACGTTGAAGTTTTTCAAAATGCTCAGAGGGAGACACGCTGAGCAGACGGTCAAAGTACAGGAACCAGTCATCCTGTTTTATCACCACTGGTTCCAGTTGGTGGTCCATAGAGCTCGTTTTTGCCAAGCTAGTTTCAGCTGACATCAAAAAACAAGGTGCAACATTTTTTGTATCAGGTGATCAAACAACAACAAACTTCAACCAGCTGAAACGAGAAGGCCACGTGGAGCCACGCGCCTGGTTTCTTACTGAGTAGTGCCGTGTGCATATAGTATGGTGGCAACATGAATGAAGTGCATGTTAAATTTGCGATATTTGATGCTACCCATGCACTATAAAGGTAGATACCTGGCTCTTCAACAAAATCAAAGGGTGAGATAAATGGAATATGAGGCTGATGATCCAGAAGAATAAACCATTCATCTTCCGTTCTCCTCTGCTGGTGATCGTCATCGCTCGCCAGATCCTGCCATGGCTGACTGACTGTCTGGATAATGGTTTGAGGACCAGCAGTCCCAGTCTCCGTGCCAACAGTACGCCCCTCCTCCTTCTCCCAGGACTGAGTGAAATTCTGCTCAAACTCCCTTCCGGCTGTGAAGACATGACGAGGTGATGCCAGTTATGTAATGGTTTTGCTGCAGAGATGACGACCGGCTGTGAATGCTGCACAGCGCTTCAAGCAAGCAAGATTTCAAGCTTTTGTGCCAGACTTCTGTGAGTCCAGTAAAGCGAAGTTAGTATAAAGATGAATGAAAGATGCCTTTTGCACTTTGGAACACAAACAGGCTCCAGATGGAACCCGTTACAGTGATGGGCACTGGGGCAGTGATGAGGGAGGTCAGTCAGTCAAAAGTCAAAAGCATAAAGGCAAATGAAAATAAGCAAATGAAAGCGGTTGTGCAACACACGTTAAGTGCAAAGTTATGAAATGAAAAAAAAAGAGGAACAAGAGCCTCAAGACTGGAAATACCTGTTTAGAGTTACATTTGTGAGGAAATTTGTTTAATTTCTTTCAGATTTCAGTAACCAACAATACTGTGGAGTCACACCGGGGAAAGTACAGGGTACGTGTCCCATCTCATGTATCAGAATAGGTCACTTTCCAGACAAGCTAACTGTGCTGAACAGCAACAGTTTTGCAGGTATGGAAGCAAAGATGAATGGAAAAATGATGCAAAAAGGCTGTTAGATCCTACAAAGCAATCTGCGAGTAGAAGGTATGCCAAAAGGCATCACTTCACACACTTCGAAGTACCTGTGAATTCGGAAGAAGGCTGGGGTCTTTCAGATACCATCAGCAGTGACCAATCATCAACCTGAGTCCTGGCTGATGCCGAGACTACCTGCAGAAACTGGAGAGTTTCATCTCCAGGTTCTATAGCAAAAGAAGTCAGAGGGCACCTTATTGGACCTGTGGTTTATTGCAGGACACACACACACACACACACACACACACAGGTGTGACAACATACACTCACGCATACCTCCATCTAGGTTGCGAGACAGCCTCTTGCTTGCAGATCGTGTGAAGCGAGGTGCCGGCCGGTCGATCATGGAGCTCGCCTGGCGGGTCTGGGCCTGAGTACGACCGCTGTACCGGAACTTAGAGCCCAAGGCGAGGAAGCGACGTGAAGAGGGCGGCTCCACTGTTGAAACCCTGAGCAAGAGATATAAGAATTACATTTTAATCTACACATTATTTGACCATTACATGAACACTGTGGATTCAAAATTATAAACCCTGCACTGTCTTCTTTAAAAAAAAAAAAAAAAGGATTCGTGTTATGTAAAAAGATTAGCAACATGTTTGGATTTATCTCATTAAACAGACAAAAGCTTTAAGAGTGTTCAGCTTTTCCTCTGTGGTTAAAACTGCTGTGGTGCCAATACAGGGCTTAAGGTGGAGTGAGGAGTTAGCCAATTAACAAGTGGATAGGGAGGACCTAAGTGTCACTCAGAATCAAAGCGTTGTTACCTGAAGAAGGTATGATGTTCAACACAAACTTTCCACAGCTTCTTTGAGGCTTTGTAGTTGGGCAGCTTGAAACCAATGGTGCTTTCATACTGCTCTTGCTAAAAGCAAAGAAACAAAAGTCAAATTCAATGACTCCATAGCGACATTATTCTGCTATTGTGAAACACAGTTTTCTTTAAATAGTGAAAGAAACTGAAAGACATCTGAAAAGCTGGATGTATCTTATCATTCTTGCAATCAGTTGGCTCAGTCGTACAGTTACATTTATGTGTATAAGAAAACCAATAGCAATATAAACTAACAGTACTATTACATTTTATACCAGCCACTTCTGCTGAGAAATAATAAATAAGTCTAGGGGGTTAGAGTAACCCCCCCCCACACACACAATCTATTGGTTATTAAAAGAAATCAGTTCTTTACATTTTTCAAAGCTAAGCTCAGAGGAAATCTATGGAAATTGGATCTGTGTAGAACAATACAAAAATCAATACAGGTCAAACATACAGACTATGTAAAGTGAGATTTACCTCTGACGGCCTGATTTTGATAAAAAAGCTGCTCCGTTTGTATGAGATCTTGAGCACTTTGGGCCAAGGGAAACGGTTGATCCTCAGCTTGTCTTTGTAAACCATCAGACCACTGGAGCAAACGCCCAGCATTATATCAACACCGTCCAGATCCTGCATGCAAGAAACGCCACGGAACATTTACAGCCCTGACCAAACACCGCCAGCCTGCTCTTGCAATAATCAGTCACCGGGGGGCAGACTTTCTCACGAAACACGAATGCTGTTTGAGGTCATGGAGTTTAGGATGTTATTAATCTCTCTTTTTTTTTTCCAAAGGGGGATGACATCAATTTTGTAATTAAATATGGATGCTACTGCTGCAATACAATGATGCTATTGTAAAAAGAGCATTTTAAAATCGAATAAAAATCAATACATGCATACATACTCGTGACATGCTTCTATGAAAAAGACTGGACCACGTGTTAAGAAGCAAACCATTCATCCAAACCAGTAAAATAATTTAAAAAATAAAAATAAACATACCTTGGCTTGGTGCAGGTCAACTCCATACATGGCGAGCTTCTTAGCATTTTCCAGAAACAGCAGGTCTGCCTGGGCTGGACTCATTGATCTGGAGGCACACACGATAACGTTTAATTCAAAGACGTATTTTACTGTCAGAATCATTTTTGAGGCTCAATCATCTTCAAGCAGCTTCGAAAATGAATTAGGTTCCTTCAATGTATGCACACTGGGCTTAAATGAACACTGTGAAAAGGGCGTGTCTAGACAACTCCTTAATGACCTGTATGTGCGGTGCAGATCCATCACTTTTTCCTCCAGCTCTTTGCTCTGTCCGGGGGCCAGGTTCAAATCTTTAACGTAGTCTGTTCCATGGAGCTCGGGGTCATACTCTCCGAGTTCTGACTGGGCTGTGTAGGAGCCCAGCAGGGACAGTGTGACAAAGGAACAGGGAAGAACACCAAGCATAATGTCCTTTCTCAGCTGGAGACACAGAAAGTACCTGGAAAAGGTGTGAAATGATTAAGGAATTGAGTCTATGAACATTTATCCTGGGTTGAATAAATGCAGTGCAAAAGCTCCCTATTGCCTCATGTTGATCCATTCCTTTAAGCTGATGATTGCTCACCTGGTTAGGTCTTCAGTAAGCTGAGCTGGATCAGGAGGGTAGAACTTGACGTTGAATGTAAACTCATAGACAGCACCTGGAACCTGTTTCCGTATCTCTTTGGTGGGTTCCAACCATGTCTGAGCAAAACGGAAGAAATGCAAGAAAATTTGCTCACTTTTTTTGGCACTGTCATTCATAACATCCAGTTATGCTCCAAGTAATTAACACTACAGAAGGGTAAAACCATCCTACCTTGCTGGTTGGGGTTTCCCAGTGAGCCAGGCTAAAGTAGTCTTTCTCCAGGAGGTTAACATGGTCACACACCTTTGTAAGAAGTTCTTGGCCTTTAGCATGTTTCTAAATGAGAAAGAGGAACGCAGACATGGGACACACGGCAAGAGAAACTCTTCAGTTTCCATGTTTATCATCACAGAAAAGCAAACGCAACAGTGGTGCATTTTGGGAGGGTTTGCTTACATCAAGTTCACACTCAAACTGAGCGTCATCCAGCAGGGTGACTTTGTACTGCATGGTCTTCTGACGTTTAGAGCCTTTAACCTCTTCAGTCTTCTTTTCTGTCTTTTCTTTTGCAGGCTTCTCTTTCTTTGCCTGCTTTTGTTCCTTTTCCTCTTCTTTGATTGGCTCTTCCTTTTCTGCTGGTTCTTCCTCTATTTTCTCCGTGTCCTCCTGTTTCACTTCTTCCACTGCTTCAGGCTCTTTTATCATAGCCTCTTCCTTGTGTTCCTCTTGGGCTGGCTAAAATAGTCAAAACCAGACAATTGCCAAAGTGTGTCACAAAGATGAAAGAGAAAGTGGGAGACATTATACAGAGCACCATACTAAGGTAGTACTCAAATAACCCAGGATGAACCCGAGCGGTTGATACTAGCGTTAGTTCAAACCAGCATGGGTCATCTTTGTTTCAGACCAGCCTTTAAGCCCAAGTGAGCACAGTGATGCTCACTGAGCAAGCTGTCCACATAAAAAATTCATTAGAAAGCAAAACCCAATCAGCAGCATGAAGTGCTTTTTTTTATAACCTTTGTCTGCAGTGATGTTCTTTTTTAGCCCTTGTTTTAGAAAATACAGTTAGATGAGTTAGATAAATCCGTCTGGAGTCGGTCTACAGCACCTCTGAAAGTCTGTAATACCTCTTTTCCATCAAGGTCAGGCTTCCTGGGGTCTTGTTATCACAAGGACATTGCAAACAGTCTGAAATCACGGCAGTCGGCTTAAAAATAGAACTGCACATTACTCCAAAAAAATACGGTCTGTTTTTAGTGTTAGCTTTGTTTTTTGGTAGAAATATACAGGCAAAATATATTGTTTGACCCGTAAGTTTTGGAGGTCTGTTTAGGAGAGGCTGCCATATCTTTACATTTCCAGTGATCATGCTAATTTAAGCCAACTGCCTACTGGTTCTACTTTCATCTTAATCACAGCGAATCTTAGAACAAGTACTCTAAATGTGAGATTGTTAGGACTCACCTGCGCCTCTGTGCTGCTTATAGAGTGCTGATCAGCAGCCTGTTCAATATCTGGCTCAGTTTTAAGCTCGGGCTCAGGAGCAGCAATCGGTGCTTTCACCTGCTCCTCACTTGGTCCTTTCACTTCCTTCACTTCCTTCTCCTCTTTCTTTCCTTTGCTCTTTCCCTTGTCTTTTTTCTTCTCTTTGTTCTCTTCTTTTTCCTCCTTTTCTTCCGGCTTTGCTTCCTCCCCTTCTTTCTCTTTCTTCTTTGCTTCTTCTTTCACCTTTTCGTCTTCTTTTTTCTTCAACTCCTCTTTTGGTTTTTCCTCTTCTTTTGTTTTTGCTTTTTCCTCTTTTGTTTTTTCCTCTTCTTTCTTCTTAGCTTTTTCCTCCTCTTTCTTCTTCGCTCTCTCGGCTTCTCTGGCTTTTTCTTCTTCTTTCTTCTTTGCTTTTTCCTCTTCCCTCTTTTTTATCCTCTCTTCTTCCTCTGCTTTCCTTTTTGCTTTCTCCTCCTCTTTCTTCTTTAATTTCTCTTCTTTTTCTTTTTTCTTTGCCACCTTCTTGTCAACCTTTTCTTCCTCCTTCTTTCCAGCGTCTGCCGCCTTGCCTTTGACCTCAGCAGTTTCCTTCTTTTTCTCTTCCTTTTTCTCCACTTGCTTTTCCTCCTTTTCTACAGTCTGCTGTGTTGTCCCTTCCTCGTTTTGCTCCTCTTTTTTCACCAACTTTTCCTCCCCCTTTTTTTCCTCCCCCTTTTTTGTCTCCTCCTTTTTCACTTTCTCTTCATCCTTTTCTTCTGCTTTTTTCTTGGCCTCTTTCTTTTTCTTTTTGCTACCTTTCTTCTCTACTTTTTCTTCCACGTTCTTTTTCTCTTCTTTAGGTTCTGCTTTGTCGTCTTTCTTTTTCACTTCTTTTACCTCTGGTTTTTCCTCCTCTGCTTTGGCCTCCTTGTCTTGACTTTTCCCTTCTTCCACCTTCTCCTCTTCTTTCTTATCTACTTTTTCCTCTTTGTCTGCCTTTTCGTCTTTGGCTTTTTCTGCCTCAAACACCTCTTCCTCTGAGCACTGCGATCGGCGCTTGAGGAAAGAGGAGAAGAGATGAGAAAGGCCTTTGCCAGCAGAGGTCCTGGTACGAGGCTTTAGCTGCTCCTCCTCAGGGGAGGTCGCTGCTTCGGCAGGCCCAGGCTCAGTGACCTGTTCCTGGGCCTTTGTGCTCGACTGCTCCCCCTCTGGGTCAGATGTAGCCGCCTCTGCCTTCTGCTTGTTCTCTGGTTCGGGCTCAGCACTACTGGTCTTCTGCTTGCCCTCAGTGTCTGCCTCAGTCACGGCAGTTGCCTCTGTTGTCATGGTAGCCACTGCGAAGGTGAAACAGAAGGGAGTCATAGATGAAGAAAGGTCACAGCATTGATGGTGTCCAACAAACCAGGTTAACTTAGCACTTCATTTACACATACGCAGTTTTTGAACAAAATTTTTTTTAAAATAAATTTTAGGACATTTTTAAAGCATTTTACAGGTAAAACTAGTGACTTTTTAATCAAGACAGCAACTATCACATCAGCTACACAAAATTTACTAAAATCTGTGGATTATTTCCTGTTTTAAGCTTTATCTAATCTGCCTTTCAGTCATCGCCCTCGGCTCAGATTGCCAGCAGAACAGATAATGTTTTATTTTATGACACAAACAGGATTATTTCTACCCGTTCCTGCTTATTTTCTCTTAAATATTCTGCATTTTGGCTTACACTCTTAATTAACAATAAGCTATTTTTCACTGTAATTTTCATTATTGCTTCAGTGTATCGTTAGCTGCCTACTCCTTAAGAGTGCCTATTATTTATTAATATTCCAGGAGACATGGAGCCAACTGCCACCTACAGACTGCGCCGTGACTCAAACACACGCACGTATTTACACATGCACAAACATCATTTCATCGCACAATGGTCCTCCTTGTTGCAGAGTGTTTCTCTGTCTGCACAGAGATCTCACAACAGGCTCATTAAAGCTCACTGACACAAAGGAGGCATTCTGCTCCGGATTTGCCTATTAGCACTGTCTACATTGGGCATGCCTGGCTCTTCAAATCACACACGCCCCTCATGCTTAGGTCATCTAAGGCACTAGAACAATATGACAATAAAGAGATAAATAAACCAATAAAAAGCTTATAAAGTTTTTTAAAAGTCATTCTTAACGTCTAAAATTGCAGGTCAATAAATTAACTCTTACTTCAGTCACATTTTGCTCTGCACAGTATTGTTATTGTATATGTCTGCTAGTAATGAGTAAATAAGCCACCTGATTACTCACACAATTTCAAATAGTTTAACACATCCAGATTTAAAAAAAAAAAATTTCTTAGTGGTTTCACGTCCATCTCATTTTACCTCCTGTACTTTTCAACCTCACTCGGTTAAGGTGAGGCTGACTTCTGTCAGTATGTAACAGAGCGAGCATACCTGCCCGCGTTATTACAATCAAAATGATGTGACTCGCAGTCCCAGTACTTGGGCCCTTTAATGAACACAACTTTGATCCTCTGCGGTGGCAGTGTGAGGACAGATCTGGTATATTTAGAAACTTCTAACCAGCTGATTAAATCACACATGGACTAAAAAAAACTGCAGGTATTGTGCAATGGCACAACACCTCGCTTAAGCAAGTTACAGCCACTCGCATCGCAGATCAGCTCCTTATTTCGACTGTGCCGATGTGCACGCTCCCCTGAACTAGGTCTCGTCTGAGTGCTGACGAATGTGGCTGTGTTTTTGTCTCGTCCATATGTAGTTCAAGTCCCACCCTGGGCTGGGGTAGGGGTGGGGGATGGGAAAACGCTAGACGGGCAGACGGGCCAATCTTCCAGATGCACGGGGCCGCCCCCGTTGGGTGCAGCCTGGACCTCTATACCGTGCACTTCCCACTGGCATTACAGGACAGCGGGAGAGGAGGAGGGGGGTACACATAAGAACAAATCCTCTTTAGCCCTCCCATTGTTTGTGTCCAGTGACCAATAACTGGGCTGAACACTATAACTAATCCTGCCTACCCTCCCCCCCCATAAGACCCCCCCCC